ATCCTGCTCAGGACACACCACAAGTCTTGACACCTTAGTTTGTTGAGTGTCTGAGAGCCTCGGTATATACGACAGGCTCCAAAAGCTCTGTCCCCTCCAACCTCCCTCCCCTTGTCGGACAACAGACCACATTTTCTTTCTAGGTTTTTTAGCTGGATATCACTGCTTCAGTTGCTACTAAAGTCCCTCTTTCTTTCTTGCAGTAAATTTCTTAGAGTGCTTTCAATGCTGTTATTTACCCCAATTATTTCTTCTATACCTAAACACAGATTTTACAGATGCGATATCTACCGATGGCAATGCGATGTCACATGCTCATGCAATAAATCAACCAAAGCGCGTTCACGCGGTTAGCAATCAAGAAGACACCTAATTTCAGTCATCTCCCTGAATTAAAAATAGTCTAAGACATGGCGGACCTTTCGACTGTGTATGTCCTATATTGTAATGCAATTTTTTATTTCAACCATAAGATAAGTCGTACGTAGGCACAGAAAATGTATACACAAGTTCAGGGCGTGAAAATTCCATAGGAAAACCGCAGAACTACTCTTTTTCCTCAAAGTTGATGCCGTATGCATCACATAGTGACGCATGCGGTATCAATGAGTAGGGCTGTAACTCAAATATAAATTGTACACTTTGGAACAGGGAGGAGTGGGGAAAGATATGAGACAGTATGCTACCCTTTCCCAAGGAAGCGCATCCCCTATCCTCATGCTATCTCAGCATAGCATACGACCCATGGTATCCGAACAAAGCAACGAAGGCGGCACATGATAGATCATAAGTTCTTATGAACTCTGTTCACGACAGACATCACTATCGTAATTATTTTCAATGAAACTATTCCGCATGACTTCTCTGAGGTTTGAATGTTTAGCGAGCCTGACGCATTAGTCACATTCAAGCGTTCAAGGCCAATGCGAGCAAGACGCAAGAAACCTTCTGTGAAATGGGAAGATGAGAAAAAAAAGAAAAGGAAACCGACAGCAAACAGAAGGGTAAGATGCAACCCTTTCTCGACATTGAAGGAGGGATGCTTAGTGTTCAAAAAAAATGTGAGAAATACACAATAGACCAAACTAGAGAAGTTTAAACAGAATATGGTGGCATTGTAGGTGCTTTGCTGAGGTTTCATCTCAATAACCGATCAACTCCTGCCAAATTAGTTCATAGATTACCACTCATGTACTCGTTACGGGAAATTCATTTCAGCAAAACAAAATCCACACTGCGGTTGCTTTCCATATCGTGGAAAGAAACAAGAACACTTTCAAGAATAATGATGAAGAACAGAACAAAAGAAAAGTAATCGAATTAACAGTGATCGCACCTCTCTTGACCGGCAGTGTCCCATATTTGGAGTTTGATTTTCTGTCCACTGACCTCAATAATGCGAGTTCCGAACTCCACACCAATAGTATGCGGGCAATCAGCCATAACTGGAATGTTGGATATTAACTAAATTGATTTTGCAGAATTCTTTCAGAATTGGAATGTCAGTGGCTTCCGGAACCAAACCCCTCATGGCCTTAAGGGACATTTAGAAATGTTGAAACCGCTGGTCGGTGACCATAGGACGGAGCCGGTTTATGGACTACTTGATTTCTCCTCAATGGTCCCGCCGCGATGGCTAGAACACAGACGATTAGAGAAAGCCCCTACTTGCACTCAGCCCTTTAAACCCTCTGCGCGCTCTCGCAGGTCCCTCTCCTCTCCAAGGCTTAGTCCTAGGGCGTTCTCTATTCGTCTGTGCTCTAGCTATCGCGGCAGGATCACTGAGGAAAAATCAAATAGTCCGTAAACCGCCTTAGGACCAAGCCATGAGAGGAGAGGGACCCGCTGGAGAGCGCAGAGGCGGTAAAGGGCTGAGTTCAAGTGGTCCGTCAACCGACTGAGCCCAGGAGCGGAGAGAAACGAAAAGAAGAAGAAAATCGCTCACATCCTCTCCCATAATCCCTTCCCTCTCCTAAGGTACTCTGAGCGACACACTTTAATGGCCCCCTCACACCCCACCCTTCCAAAAAAAATAACGAAATGAGTGCAAAACTCGATTTCAGTAATTAGAAGAGAAGAAAAAATAACACATTCCGCAGAAATAAAAACGCAGCGCCTTGTAAACTTACATTTCTTTTCAGTGAATTGGTGCAAAAGGCATGACTTGCCAACACCCATATCACCGATAATGATATATTTGAATATGTAGGAGTAGTTATACGGAGCTCCCGACATTCTCCGAAAACGCTTTACCTATAAAGCGATTGATAAAGGTAGAAGCAGTCTCTATTTCAAATCACTAATAGCGCTCCTGCAAGACGAAAAAATAGCAGAAACAAGAGAAATTTCAACACGAAGCACAGTTCTTCAATAAGAAATGATCCATCGATTACGGCTATACACTTAAGCTTCATAACCAAGGAAAACTTCAGGTAACCTGAACATCAACGAAACGTCAAGATACCGAGGACCCCAAGCAAGAACCTACGATAAATAATGAAAACGAAAACTGGCAGAAAGAAAACGAACAAAAAAAGGACGGAGCTATCCGGTAAGTGGGGGGCATTGTGATGCAACGTCAAGTGGCTGCCCTCACCACCCACCCCCAGACTGGCTTTACTCCCCCTGGCTCACGGGGTCCCGTACTTCGAGAAACCTGTGCGCCAGAGGGAGTGTAGGCAATCTAGGGGGTGGGGGGGGGGGTGAGGGCAACCACTTGATGCCCCCCTCCTTACTGGATGAGCGCCAAAAGGACTATTCCGACTGATAAATTCCATTTGATAAAAACAACGAAAATATTAATAACTCAGATACATAAGCAGATAACGAGACCAAAAATCAAGGATCGATAATGCATGTAGTAATCAATGTTAACCCAGTGCAACAGATGAAACAGGAAGTCCACAGCAGCTGGGAATTTCGCAACCTCACCACTACGGGCAGCCTCGGTGGATGTTATTCGCTAAATCGATCGACAAATGACTAATACCCTATGTTTTTCCAGTTGATGAAAACTGTTACTCATCCTCCCTGGCTTTATTTGAAAGAGAAATATCAAGCAAACGTAAAAAGTTGAGTAAAGTAAGCACCAATGCTAATCTTACACACCAGCACCACCTTCAACAACACCAACAAACCACCAAAAAACTTCCGGTCACGACGTGACTTCATCTGTCAACAAAAGTAGAAGTGAGTGAAGTGATAAACTAGAAGGAATCAATAACACCTGTCTAACACTCGAGGGCTGACTCAATTGAGAAGTCGACCACAACGTGATCGATGATATGCCTGAGGTGCAAAATCGATTGGAACCAACGGGGCGCCGAACGCTGAGTGCGCTAGCGATGCTGATTGGCACCATTCCGCGGTACTTTTTAAATTTTCTAATTCAATTTCCAGTTGATTTTACATGGTGTTTGGCAGTCTATTATTATTTCCATCATTTGATTTGTTGAAGTTTCATCAAAATGCGAATGAGAGTGGGTCTGGGTAGATGGCAGACTCTTGCTTGTTGCTTGCATCATTTTCCTATTTCTCGATCCTCGGCTTTAGTTGTGGAATCACGACAGAGTTCTCAATGTTTATGTATTGCTTCGCTACCCAGATTTCAAAAAGCCTCACTACTATAGTGTTGTTAGGGAACTTGGATGGATTTGAACATATAAACAGCTGGACCAATTTCCTCTGGTTCGTCATTTTGGAGCCGTTCAATCAAACTCAACCTCATTTTATATTTCCCGTTAATTCTTCATCGTTAGGATTGACTAAAATAAAATTACAGGCGTTTGGGGTCCCAGAAACTGGCCGGTGAGTAGAATGACCGCATTGACGACTTTTAACTTCTCTTAGAATTGGGAGGAGAATCTTATAGCCTCGATAGTTGATTTGCAATTTTTGGGAGGCGATGCCATTTTCGGGGTTGGTGAAGGTTGACTGATTTTGTAGACAGTCTATTGTAAAAGTTGAGTAGGTCGTGATTGTCATGGAGGGGACCCGCTTTTGTGTTTTCGACTATTTTTGTTGACATTTTTGGGGAAACCTCAGGGGAGACGAAATAGACGAACTTTAGAGAATTTCTCGTTTATAGGTGTACTTTCCATCGCTCGCAACCCTTTTGGAGGGTAATGGTTCGGATTAGAAGTCAACTGGTATAAGATTGGTATTGAAACTATCACGCCAGTGAGGGTGGTGGCCTGGTTGGGTTCGTCTTGAGCTCTCTTGGAAGAAGTGGGAGGCCGCAGCTCTTCCAAAAGGTCGAATGCGACGACTGACCCTATCTCTACGGAAGCTAGCCCTGTGCTGTGCCGGCATTACTCTTTTTGACTTTTTTTAGGTCTGTTCCAGTGAGGGGGTGGCATCGTGATGCAGTTCCTCGGCGAACTAGTGTGAACTCGAACATTCCAGCTTTTCACGCGTGTTGAGTGCCCTCATCCCCCCTAGACTGGCTACACTCGCTCTGGCTCGGAGTTACCATAGCTTTCCGGAAAACTGCATCATGATGCCCCCCCCTAGCTGGAGTAGCCCCTTTTTTACTGTTTTGCTTTTTCATCAGTGTCTTTGCAATGCTAGCCTTAGCAGTAGTAGGTTCAGAATATAGTGAGTTATACATAGCTCTTTTGCCCACGATTTTCATTTCGACTCAAAGTCCATGGCGCGGGCATCGGACGGCCAGAATTTCCGTGGAGCTTGCATCGCGCCCCGCGTCGCGAACTACTTCCCGAAACATGTCTCAGCGCAAAGTATGAAATAATTTTTTAGCTAATTTTAACGGAGTTTTTCAATTCTCACGTTACACGAATGTTTTGCTCCTTGTTCCTTGATTTTTTTTGTCTCGATTTCAAGAGTTGGTTTCCATCGACTTGTTTTTTTCACACACATTGACAAGAGTTACATGGTTTTGATTTTATTTAAACTTTTACTAACTTTTTCTATCTACTCGTGGACTTTTCATTATGCTCTGAAGCAAATAGGAGTGATATTTACTGCACATTTAGGTAATTATGCTGAGCCGGTTATCACGGCATGCGCTCCGGCGGACGTTTAGGACTTCGGAGGTTCTCATGAAAGATCTCCGGGTAAGTCATTTAACGTTTTCTTTTTTTTGCGAATTGTTTGACTTTCACTTCGAGAATTCGTATGGTTGTTGCTTCGTGCTGGTAACCCAATTTGGAGTATCACTTTACGGCAAATTAGTGGAGCCAGGTACAAGGTTGGTAGTCATTTGTCAAGGCGTTCACCACTGTCTTTTGGAGAGTCACCTAAATGCAAGAGGGCCGGTGAAAGGTGGCACTAGGACCAGTCCAGGAGAGAGGCGAACGGCAGGGAGAGCACAAATTGCCCACATCCTCCTGAATCCCTTCCCCGCCCTACGGCTTAACCACGTTTGGAACTGGCACACTCATTTGTAGGGTAATCCTACCTAAATAAGCGCGATCAGTGTGGCTATGCGAGTGATTGCAAAGTTTCCACATCCTGACTCCTGACTGACTTTGGGTGCTTGCATCCACTCTTGGCTGTGGATGAATCTTGTTTTAGTATTCCCTACCACTGTAATGAAATGGAAAAGCCATAATCGACGTTTTGTAGTCTGTTCTTATTTGCATTTTCGTTTCTGCAAGTGAAAAATAATGGATGTTGTTTGAATGATGAATAACTGTGTGAGGTGTTCAGAGCGTTACACGTGTGCCGCTATGCACTCCGCTGGACGGCGAAAATGCGTTAAGTGCGCAAACTGAAATGGATTACGTGCCTTTTGATTCAAAGATGACTACACTGAAGTCAAAAATACGGGTTGCATCAGAGCCTCACTATGGGGACTACTGCACTGTCGGTGGTAAGGAGTTGGTATATTGATTCTGAAACTGATGTATAGCGCTGTACATTAATCTGTTAGGGATAAGTTTATTAGCGTGGCCTTTTGATTCAAAGATGACTACACTGAAGTCAAAAATACGGGTTGCATCAGAGCCTCACTATGGGACTACGGCACTGTCGGTGGTAAAGGAGTTGTATCTCTTAGCTCGAGTCGCGTAGTTGGGGTAGGCGTGTCAGCCGGAAGTGACGTGTACTTGGTAGATATCTATGGATAACGGCTCGATCCATCGCGGAAGATATCATAAGCATGCGGCACCGACTTATCTACACAACTCTATCAAGTGCCCACGTCACTTCCCGGTGACACCGCCTATCCCAACTTTCGGATTCGACTGTTATTGAATTCTGAAACTGATTTATAGTGTCTATCATTAATTCTGTTAGATATTATTTAGCGCAATGTGGCTCAGGGAGGCCAGGCGCGGCGTTGCGGCAACAGGAAATTTGTGAGCCAGGGGGAATGTAGCCAATTCAGGGGGGTTGGGGGTGAGGGCAGTCACTTGACATGCGTGAGAAGCTGGATTGTTCCGTGAGAAGCTGGAATGTTCGAGTTACACAACATCGCTGAGCCGCGCGCGGCGACTGCCCCCCCCCGAGCCACATTGCGCCTAATTTTTATGTTTCTTTTCACACCTTGTTTTTTTTTGATCCACCAGTAGAGCTGCTCTCTATTTTTCTTTGAAATTCCTTCTTTATTCGCGCAACAGATCCGTTCTTTTTTGTTCCTACTTTAATATGTCTCTGATAATTTTCGTTTTAGTGGCAATTGAAAGTGGATGTCGTTTCGAGTCCGGATATCCCCTCGGCATTTCACATATTGTGGAAAAATTGGCATTTGGGGTATGTTTTTCATGAAACAGTCGTTCTCGCTTGTTTTGGGTTTCCATTTCCTTTTTTCCCTTTATCTTATTTGCTTGTTTTGGTTTGATAGAAATTTCAAAGCAAAGCTGTCAAAATGGTAGAAATTCAGTGGGCGATGAACTTATTCGCAAACCATGTAGGGGTGTACTCATGGCCGCTAGATTCAGCATAACGTCTGGAAGGTGTCTCTGTAGACTGTGAAACAGAATCGGGTAGAGAGCTTATAGAACCTATATCGGAGGTAGTATTGTTGTGATGAGTTGTTGGTCGTGAGTGTAATTCTGTGTTATGGTTCTAGTGCTATAAATTTATGCCCTAGAATTTTGTGCTTTACTTTTTTGAGGTTTATCATGTTTTTTCTCTATTTGACACTTGAAGCATGGTTTAGTCAACATCGCGACACTCATCGAGAGACGAGATTTATGCAGTGCTACAGGAAAATGGTGGTTTGATCGACTGTCAGAGCACCAGGGTGAGTTCAGCAAGTCGTTCGCAGATGAATATAATTTTGTTTATTCTTATTAAGGATACATTCATCTATGCTGCGAGTTGTCATGTGACGGGTCTTGAAGCTGTCATGGAAATTATCGCCAATGCAATTTGGCGGGCTCAGAATACTCCAGAAGAGGTTTGACTTCACTGACGTTCTCTAGTTTTTCGAGCTAAATTCAGTTAATTGGAATTCAGCTGGAAGAGGCCAAAATGATAGTGCAGTATGAAATTGAGGATATGCCAAAGAAAATCGAAAGCACGGAACCGTTACTGACTGACTGGCTCCACATGGTGAGCTTTCTCAGCTTGCTCCTTTTTGAGTGGTTTTGTATACATTTTTTTCACTTTTAAGCGTGCCAGCGAGGCATTTCTTCTATCTCAGTCTGTTTATACATTTGTCGGCATTGTTCTCCCGTTGCTACATTTCTCAAAATCTTTTTCATCTTCTTTTGGAAAGAGTCCTTTGGCATCTCTCTGCGTCATTCGTGGTTTTACGGCAATGGTAAAGGCCTTACTACTGAACGGCCGCTTGAGGTTGAACACTAGGGTTGTTGTCGAAGTAGGAAGTGAGTTGGATTGGTTGTGGTTTTTTCAAAAGCTAGGCCAGTAACTCTCCATACTCCGATATCTGCCATCGTGTGGTCCAAAGAACAACTTGGTTTAGAACCCTAATTATTAGAATTTTGCATCCTCAGTCTAAACTTCTACCTCTTATAAATAGGGTGTTCGGAACATCATACTTTTTTAGGTGGCGTAAAGGTTGTGATTTCGTCGTGCGCTTCACAAGTGATCTTATAGAATATGTATTTAGTAATTTCTACTTTCCTAGGCAGATTTATGGGGATATGAGAATGGGAGAATCTGGTCAGAGTTGAACTGATCACCTTCTCTCTCTTCATTACCACTAGAGGCAAAATTCTAGCGCACAGAGTGAGCCTTTTCTAGAGCATCAGTGTTGATCTTTTAGTGATCAATCTTACATTTTTGCTTCTTCTCTCTGCTTTTTCAACTTCGAGAATCCCAGCCTGATTCTAAACAATCATACTTCTCACTTAGAATCCTGACTTAATTTGCTCTGTTACCTACGGTCGAGTATTTATTTCATAGCTCCTTACAGTGACAAGAAGTATCTGCTGAAACTTTTTCTTGCAACTCAATTTTTCGGGAAACTTTTGATCAACTTCACTTTTGTCTTTGACGCTTTTTTTCAAATCCATAAGGGTTAATGATTAGTAAAAGCCTTGGCGTACCAAAATTTAAGGCTACTCGGTTGAATTGAAGGAAGTTGTGCGCAAAAACCTTTCCAGCAAATACTTCTGCTCTTCAGTAAGTTATTAGTTGAAGGCGCATTCCTTTTGCCTCAAAACATTAGGTGTGCTATCAATTTATGACGATTTTCAGGCCGCTTTTCGCGACAACACGTTAGGATTTTCAAAGTTTACCACTGATGACGGGCTAAAGAAGATCACTAGGCAACATGTTAATTCGTATATCAGTCAATATCACGCGCCAGAGCGCATCGTAGTAGCCGGTAAGTTTTCCAATTATCGGCTATCAGATCCGCATTGTTTCCGCCATCCACATTCTACGTAGCACGACCTTTCATTCTAGGGGTGGGTGTTGATCACGACGAGTTGGTTGCGGCTGTTCAACGACATTTCACAGTTGGAACTGCAATGTGGGAGAGGAATCCGGAAGAGCTTCTTCCTAACCTACCTCAGATTGATCGATCTGTCGCTCAGTACACTGGCGGAGAAATGAGAGTAAGTTACGGTTACATTCAATTTCAAAACCTTGCTAAATCACAATTGAATGGAGGGTGTGCTTGTAGGCGGTGCATCGCACTTCTTTATATGATGCTTTTTTCGCGTTTCCTTCGCTTTTAGGCGAGCTGCCAAGCGTCATGCTCTTTACTGTTTCTCCTTTTCCAACTGAAATGCATACGTTGCTACACTTGTCTTATCTTCAGATCCAAAAAGACTTGTCCACTTTGGCTATTGGCACACCTTACCCGAATCTTGCTCATGTAGCGCTAGGTTTTGAAGGCGTTAGTTACAAGTGAGTATTCTCGTCGGCTTCTTCACTTCAACGCCGTTGGCTAATGTACTATTGTTTCAGAGACCCAGATTTTGTCGCATTTTGTGTGCTACACATGCTTCTTGGAGGAGGAGGCTCGTTCTCTGCTGGTGGTCCAGGCAAAGGGATGTACACGCGGTTATACACCGAGGTCATGAACAGGTACACAGTGCTGATCTTTCTAATCGATTGCGTATTTACTTGGCAAATTAGGTGGCGTATTTGAAGGCACTGCACTTTCAGTAGGTAAGGTAGTGCACAGCTGTTTGGGAGTGTTCCTCTCCCAACGGTCCGGCCCCATGTCCTCTACCTTTAAATCACTGTGGGAATGAGTGAAGGTTCCGAAATTTTGGAGTAGAGCATTCTGTAAGGCTGTCATATAAATTCGTGCGCTTTCTGTAAAAACATTTACGTTCACAGCGCGCAACAGTGTCAAATAAGGAATCGCACAAACTTGCGTGTATATCCAGTACTTTTAAGGTGCCACTGGATATATGGTGCTACTGCCTACAATCATTCTTATGCGGATGCTGGATTGTTTTGCGTCCATGCCAGTAGCGATCCTGAACAGGTACCTGTCTTCAAATTCTTTCACGTTCAACGCGCCGAACGAGCTAGGAGTTCCTAGAGATTCTCAGAGATTCATTGTAGTTTGAAGTCGTATGATGAAAGTCCAACACTATAAGGAAGGACACCGTCAATCGTTTTTTCGTTTTTTTGGATATCTCTAGTCTCTCAAAAGAAAAGAATCTCACATCCGTTTTCTGCTTTTTGTTTTCCCCTCTTTGCATGGATAGCAAACGCAAAAAAAGTGTGCCATGTCCTGAGCGAACTCCGTGGTAGGGGCAACAGTGGACTTTCGGGTGACCAGTTCTTCACAAGCGACGACTTCTAGGCATGTTTGAGGTAACAGCTGAGCTGTTCGAGCTCAAGTATGAGTGTGCCTGCGTGTAAAAGTAGAAAATGTCCACAAAAGGCTCCGCGCGTAATCCACTGCGATAGCGTGTAGATGTTGAGAAATGTTCAGCCTCCGCACTTCCGCCGAATTAATACAATTTTTTAGATTAATGATGTTCTTGTCATTATCCTCGATCAGTTCTTTAAACTACTCAAAGGCGTTGAAAAAGAGGAACTGGAAAGGTTCGTCACGATTTTTATAAAAAAGCTCAGAAAAAATATGGCAAGCAGTTTTTAGGGCGAAGATCCAGCTCAAATCGCAGCTGATGATGAATCTCGAGGTTCGGCCGGTGATGTTTGAAGACCTGTCTCGTCAAGTGATCGGACACGGCTATCGGCGGAAACCTCAAGAGTACTTGGAGAAAATAGGTAATCTACTCTTGCTGGGTCACCTCTCACTTTGTTGAGTAAAAATTTGCGTAGTCAGATCGAGCTGGTCAAGCGAGTACGAAGCACTTGATTGGTACAGAGTTCAGGTCCTTGACGCTGATAGGTTTCTCTGGAATGCGACCTGCAGTTGGTTTCATTAACAATAATGGAGGTCCTGAAAGGCGGTTGCTCAACCATTTATCGACCGGCTGATTTAGCTGATATCAGGGTCATGCGTCGGTCTGGTAATGAATGGAATGGTTACATTTAGTATGGTTTCGGCGGGTAAGGGTGGGTCGGTCTCAGAAGTTTTAGGCTAGCGAACAAGCTTTCGGAGAGACTGTTAGGAAGGAGATCCAAGATTGCATTTTGTACCCAGATATTGCAATTCCCCTTCTCGCACCACATCGTGGGTGGAGGAGTGTGGAGAGCAGGATCAACTTTCTGTTGTGCCGATTTCAAAAGTGATATGTCCGTCTAGAGTCCCTAGTATGATTTTCTCTGAAAGTCGATAGTATTATTGAACCTGGCATCACTTGACACACTCGAAGTTGTTCCAAAATTGTCGAAGAGAGGGCGGAAGGGGAACCGAGTACCAACAACAAGTCCTTCAATCACGAATACCGCCCTTCACAGCGAAGGTAGTTGGCTAGAAATGGTAATGACCATAGTTCTGATGCATGGTGAAAGTCGACCTTTCCAAGATGTGAAAATTTTCCAGAAGGATTCATTTATAATAGTCACTGCACTCCAATGTGAAAAACTAGTCTTTCTGTGAGTTGCTTTTTTGGCGGATGTTAAGAAATAAATATAGAGTGGAAAGTTCTCGACGTTGACCAGTCCGTCTACTATAGTCATGGCGACATATGAAAGCGGTTAGGCCTATACTTGCGGCGGTAACTGTCACACAAGTCAGCCTATTTATCCTCTCCTAGGATTGGTACCCACTCCCAACTCCGGAATGATGTAATGATTAGGGAGGCAAGGGGGTGAATCGACTTCAGGTTTGATCGCTGGTTATTGCTCGTGGGAACTGGCACCACTTGCCATTACGCAATCTACGTCTGTCCTTTAAAATACATTTTAATAAGTGCTCATGAATAGCACCGAAAGAAACACGGGCACTCATGGTCTGGAGTGGGGGAGGGGACATTCAAAAACCCCTAGTTGGTAACACTTGAACTTAGCCCAGGAGTTCCTTCAATGTCATGAACACCGAGAAAGGTTGTCCGAACTTTTTTTATCAGTCATTTTCTTGTTTCAAGCTATTGTTATTAGTTGGGATAGGAGAGGAAGTTTCTCTTGTTTGCTCTGTTATCATGCAAATACTACTTCAATCCAAAATTTCTAGTGGACACTTTGATCTCTTCGGATTTTGCAGATAATGTGAGCGCTGAAGAAATCGTACGAATTGCGGAACGTATGCTGTCTGGCCGGCCCTCATTGGTTGGATATGGAGATATTGGAAAATTGGCGGTAAGTTTACTATTCTCTCAATCAGGACACAATACATTTCTAACTTGAATATGGTCTTTATGGTGTTCTTTGGTGTATGTGATATGTTGCTTCCAATGAACATTTGCTTTTGGCAGTCCAGTTTTCGATTTCCCTCTATATAAGGCAGTTAGCGGCACTTGACCCTTTTTGAAGATGCGCCGTGCATTCTACTTCCATTTAGATTGTTCGTTGATTGATTCGATCATACTCTTATGATCGTTGGATTTCATATCTGTCCTGAGAGTAGAAAGACTGGGCCAGTTCTGAGTGTAGAGTTCTGCTCTTCTGAGTTAGTTAGGTATCAGTCAATCGGTTCGGAAGTTTCTGGAATTCCATCTAACAGCAGCACATGAACGAGTGCCTTCCACGGTCAACCGTCACGTTGGGCAGATTTCAAAAATTTTACGACCCACCCCTTTCTGGAGGGCCCCGACACGTCCCCCCCCAGGGTCAACCCTACCTACCGTTGGTACTTCTTGGAAATTTTGCACGACCCCCCTCCACTACCACGAGACTCAGGAGGTCCACCAATAACGACCACCACCCTTAACCATCAGAGCTGTTACTATAGCATTTGATTCTGAGACCAGTTGGCACAGTCCAACTCCACCCAAATTCCCTCCAAAAGAGCTGTCGAGCGGAGTATATATCAACAGTGGAACGGCAATTTTTTCTTACAACTCACAAAGGCGTAAAGCGTCACACTACGCCCTCCGTTGGTGAAGGATTGACGCTGCCTCCGACCTTGCGAATACGACCCCCTTTTCGTCGACCGAATACGACCCCCCGCCCTCGTTGGACTTGGTCCAACAGACGGTTGATCCTGGTGCCTTCTTTTCCTTTCCACTAACTCCTTTCCTCTCTACAAATCGAAATAGTGATGGCAAAATTAGGCGAGGCGTTCGGGTTTCAGCATCTGTACCTTGGTTCCATAGGCAGCTGGTTTCCAGAATTCAAAGTTCATGGAATTTTAGTCTTTTTTTATCTTTCGGCGGGAAAGTCGTCCATTTGGAGTCAGGCGTTGATTTATTTCTGTGGCTATGATTTCACGTATAATTTTAGAGTTATGAAGCACTTGATGATGCTGTGGCACATCGACGTCTTCAAAGTCTCGTTTCACGGAAGAAAGCATTTAGCTGGTGATTTAGCTTTTGATCTTTGAAACCTGTTACTATGATTAAGTTCTTTACAGAGTTTTTTGTGTACTATGATATTGTAGAGATACTATTATTGTCTTGTTATATATACTTCGGATCTTTGTTCTGTTCTTGTTTTCTTCATACCAGAAAGTCAGTTTAAGAAAATAGACGGTTGTTGAGTAATTATGACGACGTCAATTGTTATTGTACAAAGAAATGTCGGTTTTCGGTTATGTACACTTGTTTGGTACTGATTTTCGATCATTTATTAAAAAGAACCATCTAAACTGAACAAAAGAAAAAACGAATAAAACTACCGCATAGTTACGTGGTTATTGCCGTAAAAGCTCTAAGGGGATGATGTGAGGGGATAGGGGGCCGGCGAGAAAAATCGCATACATTATTGCGTTATGATCGACGAATTGTTATTGCATAAGCCGTATAAAAATATATAATTGTAAACAATAATATGAACACAAATCTATGATGAATATATGAATGAAAAACGTATGATTGACGTAAATTGGTGGAATTAGGCATCAGCAAACTCGGTGCACAGTGCGATGTGTGTTGTACGTAGTATTTGAAATATGTGAAGAATAAAAAAAAATGAAGAAGAACAAATGTATATGACAGCTTAATCGATCAGGCAAAAGGACAATGTTCCACACATCCACGGTCTACTGCTAATATCAGTAGAGATCATGCTTGAAGGCGCATTGATAAAAAGCAAATAAAGCATGTTCAGCATTATATATAAGGAACAATAAAAAGTTAATAGTTATTGGCGAGACGTGCTATTTGAGTATGAGGTGCTACCGTACGAGTTTTTCTGTTATGAAGAGAATTATTCTGAACTTCGACACACACACATACGACCGGGGTGATTAAGAACGTCTCATATGAAGGCAGACATGACAGCGGCAAAGACTAACGGTGACGATTCGGCCTCGTGGTGCAGGTTTTCATTGGAACGCTACAATGAGTGTAAAGCTACAGGATACAACGGCATAAGCCGCTACTCGATAAAGATATGTAGTAGTACGTGACAGTTATTCACTCGTTCTTTGTAGGTGAGTTGATGAGAGTTGAGAGGTCAGAGAAGTTGGCTGATAATGTGGATGTGGCGGGCGATGTGGTGGTGGCAACTGTGGCTGGCGACGAGGTGACCGGCGATGCGACACTGTTCGGTGTGGCTGCAGCGGTCGCAGCCGCTGCAGCTGCCGCCACCGAAGTGGCTGCAGCGGTCGTGGTGGGCGTAAGTTGCTTACACATTTCGTTAAGCCGAGACATATGTTGTAGATACATGAGCTGTTGGGTTTGTGGCATCGTGGCCATGACCATGTTGAGCACGTCCTGTTGCATAAGCGGAGACGGAAACGGCATTGCCACCGCCGACGGGATCATCGGTGTGGCTGCTGAAACTGCCGGTGTGATCGCCGGCGAATGTGGACGTCGTACAGCTGCAGCGGCTAGCATCGCACTCGGGGTCATCAGTAGTGATTCTGCTGAAACAGTGAGAATCAGCTTTCACTGGTATTATTTTTTGCATCACTTGAATTTTCAATATTTAGCATTCGGTTAGAGTCACTGACCTGCTGCTTGAGCCACATGATTTATCGTATGCTGATTCATAACTGCCATCAGCTCTTGATTCAACATCATCGGATACGGTAATTCACCCATTGGCGTCGGATGTTGGTACGGGTGATGGCTACTTCGCTCCTGCTTACGGAATTTTGCGCGTCGATTTTGAAACCATACCTGAAAAATTCGTGGTTTCTGTGAGAGGTGAGTCGAGCTACGCGTTAGTCATCAAATATTGAACGCAGTAAGCAGTAGTATAACAATTATGAACGTTCATTATGGGATCATTATTAGAGAAGATTGGGATAACGCGATGGATGATGGCTCGTTAACTAATCACTCAATCTCAATGACGCCTTCGTTCACTAGCTTCACTCACATGGAAAATCCAACAAAGAAGCAAAAAATCGTTCTTCTCAGTGTATTCCTTTTGTTTTGAGTTTCCATGCCCTTGAAAGCCTCGTTATATTTTTTCATTATATTTGTAGTTTTTTCCTACATTTGAAGAGATAAAAAGAGTGGAGTCGAATCAAGAACATGCGTTCTTTTTCTTCATAGATTATTGAGCAAAGAAACAAAAATTCTTGTGGCTAGCCTGCTTGTCTCACATTAGCAAGATCTCAAGTGCTTTCCTTACGGGGGCCAAAAACGCAATGCTCAGAGGTGAGGGTGGTTTAGAGGACTTTAAAAATTTTGTTGTTCTTAACAACAATCGCTTCAAAGTGGGACATGTTTGTAAAGTCCGGTTGTGTTGAAAAACATAAAAATGAACTTTCTCCCTGATTCTCGGTAGTAGAAGGCAGCAACTCCGGATATGGGAATGACGGGGATACAGGAATGGAGATATAACATGAGTAAAAAAATACTAGAATGAATCGTATCCTGGAAAATTGAACCCCTTTACGAGCACCGAAATACGAGCTTCTCCGTAAATATGCCTAGTTCAGTAAAATACCGCTGACGGTTTCACTGTAAGCGCAGCGCGGCCATTTTTCGCGATGAAAAGGGCTTAACCGCTTTTCGATTTCTTTTATCATCACAGTTGTTGTGACAGCGGCCAGTTGAGATCACATCTCGATCTCAACTCGCTGAACTTGCCAAGTCTCAAGTCGCTGTTATACTTCAGTAGGACCGATCGTCCAATTGCACAACCGAGTGTAGGGTAGATAGGTATCGATCGTCCAATGGTGCGACTCGTCCGATCAGGAGGTCGTTGCCACCATAGAATGTTCAATAATATTAATCCCACATTACACTGTGTGATCGGAAGATCGGTCCGACTGAACTACAACTGCAAAATTAATAGGAATTAGGTTCTATAATGAGGGAGTCCAGTCATGTTTAGTTCTCTTCGGCCACGCTGGCACTTTGACACGAGCTATCAAAGACACAATTTTCTACTACGAAACTGCCAACATAGTGTATGGATCAACTGTACTACTAACCTGTACTCGAGCTTCAGTCAGAGTTACACGTTGAGCCAACTCTTCTCTGAAAATATGAAATTGAGTCGGGGCCACAAAAGTAGTGGTAATTTAATTTAAAAATTTATATACAAAATCAAGATGCAGACGCAGAGGCTTCACTTCCAAAGGCGCAGTCAGAGGATCGAATCTCGCATAAACCAATTAAGATGGAAAATTTACCTCTTGTCTTTGGTTAGGCCAGACCTAGTGAGTCACATATGGAGAAAACTTAGCCAAACTGATCACCCCACTTAAGTACCACTATTCACCTAGCTTCTACTGTAGTCCTTCTCCCGTTCTTTTCCACCCGGCCTTGAAATATCCTTGACTTTACTGAAATGTGTCTGACAAGCGTTTAGGGGTATATTTCTAGTACAATTAATAGAGAAGGTTCCTGAAGTCACAGAATTTCTTTCATGAAAGCTATCCCAAAGATCCTAAAAATCTAGCGGAGAAATCCTACACTCTGAATGACCCTTGCTCCTTTCTATCATAATTACACTGCCAGTCCCATTTTATATGACCCCTTTGAAAGAGAGTCAAAGTTGGCTCTCTATAGACGTTAACTCATACTAAGCGAAACATCCATTCAGGGATCTGCACTACATATATTGGGCGGAATCGGAAGATGTGGCGCATCCCAGCAGCGATGAGATTTATCCGTTCCATCTAACCCCTTTATGTACACCCTGCATGTAGCGGGCTCAGTGACGACCGTATTGAACATGTGCAAATCGCATTTCAATGTCCGTCCAGACGATTGTGTTCAAATAGCAGCACGGTAATTGATTTGAGCAGCAACGCTAATTGATTGCTAACAGGTGGCGGTGGGTCTTTTCGGACGATCACTCTTCCAATTAGACCACCCTCAGATATGATCCTGTCGCACTGTGCTGTGTGCGCTGTGAACGTGAACGGGCAATAAAAGTGCACCAAGTGGGCGTGGTGGGATGCGTTTCAAAGCGCTACTTTTGCACCTCGAACGTCATCACTTGACTTACATATCTATTACGACAATGAGGTTAGTGCAGAAATAAGTTCATTGGATGGACTAAAATTAGATTGACGCGGACATCTTTGGCAAGTTCCAATCCTAACACTGTACACCTCTTATGCCCCTCAGAGCCTGCGCCCTGATAGTGGGTACCTGATGATTTGTTCGACTAGTATCCACGTCGAAATCGTGTCTCACCCTCGATTCGCGAGGTAAATGCAATAATTAATAGTCGTCAAGTCATCAACAATAGTCAATTAGGCTCGCACGCAAACGGCGGAGCGATATTTGATGCGTATGCGTGTTACGCTAATTGCTTCGAAGGACTTGTAAACGATTTGTGTGACGACCAATGTAGAAGGCGAAGGCGATGTGGAGAGTCGCACGACACACAGACGACGGCCTCCTCCCTCACATAACAGCTCACCATGTCGAAAAACACATCAACTGTGCCGATTGGCTCGCATGCTCCACGAAAATCGGCGCTCTTGCCTGTAGCGCCAAGCATAGTACCCGAAAAATCCCCCCCCCCATACCTGAACGGTTACGGGCCTGATGTTTGATAGGTTTTGCCGAGGAGTTTTTTTTTGATTTTTTTTGAGGAGGTTTCGGGAAGTCCAGGAATTTTGACACTACCAACCTTTAACCATTCCGAATGCATTATATTTCAGTATTTTTCACAGTTCTGGATGGGATCGCAATGCTGTATGGAGGCTTTGTGGAAGGTGGGAGGGGGGGGGCGGTCAGTGCGTAAGAGTTTTGAAAGAAAAGGACATGGCTTGAAATGGTAAGGCAAAATATTCCAAAGGATGGAAATAAATCAGAGCTGTAATAGTGTGCATGTGTGAGAGAACCCAGACAACACTACAAAGCACTGACTCAGCAAGCCTTGCGGCTGACAGGTGCCCTAAACATGATCCTTCCTTCTCTAAATCCTTCTTACATCCTTGTAATCTCTTTTAGTCTTGGTAAAAGTACTGATAATGCATTAGGGATGGTTGGAGATTGGGTGTAATATATTCAAACAGTAAAAATTCCTAATTTCTATGAAAAATCCTCAAAAATTTACAAAAAAAATCCCGAGAAGGCCGATGAAACCAACTTCCCGTGCCCTTCAGTGGCCGAATACGGCCCCGTCGTGCCCCATCCGTGACACATGCTTGGCCCTGATCATCAGTTCCTCGAAGAGGAACTGCGACGACGACGGCAGTGTGCGAATGTCGCTCATAATCGCGCGGTGATTACGAGCGACAGCTGTTGTTGAATTTCGAACAACGCTATAAAAGGCAGGAATTGACCGTCGCTTGGCAAAAAATGAGGAAATTAGTTGTCGTTCTCGTTGTGAATTTCCTCATTACTGGTGATCTTCGTCAAAGAGAGCATCCTGCATTAAAAATATCAGGATATTAACATGATTAGTGAGGGATCGCCGGCTGCGGACAACATGGCGTCACTATACGCAACACGGGGTTATCATTATAGGATCTTTGTGGAAGGATCAACGATGAAGATGTGGCGGGAGGAGGAGGGGGGGGGGTGGCTGATGGTGTCTGAGGGCATTTCGGCCTTTTCCTAGGAAAGGGGGCATTGACGAGTGGATTTTATCAGTGGATTTGAAAATCGCTAGGGAAACTTCCAAATCAGCTTTCATTCTGTGCAGATTCTGATCACCTGATGTTGACGCCGCTGTTCAGCAAACGTCTATATCGGCCAGCCGGCGCTATGACGCGCTTCTATAGCGTTGTCAACGAATTGACACTCAATTAGAGACATATTCGCAGCCCCAATATGTGAGAGTTTCATGCAATTTGCGCTATTACATAATGTGACAAAGTGAGCTTAATGGCACAACTCATAGGCGCTGATAGATCTCCATCCGAGCACCGAAAGTCAACGGCAATGACGCGCCTTCGAAAGTGAATCGCCGTTTCAGGCCAAAAATTGTGTACAAGGTAAAATTCAAACCTTGTGAAAACATCAGGATAGTGTGTACGTGCGAAAACTTTTTCGAGTTCGTCCAATTGATAGGCACTGAATGTCGTTCGATATCTGAACATAAAGAATCACTCAAAAGAAACTCTTTGTGCCTAGAATTCGTGGCGCGTTTTTTGTATCGAGCAGACGTACCTTCGCTGTTTTCGTTTGCCATTTTCATCTGGACTCTCACCGCCATCGTCCGAGATATTCAGCGAATCCCGTTGTTCCGATACTGACGGAGCAGCATCGTGCATAACTAAATACACACGGAGCGTTTAAAGAAACGCATGAAAAAGGTGAGAAAATCGAAATGCTAAACGAAAGCAGAATTCTCCTCGCCTGGCTTTTCCTCTCCTCGTCGCTCCTCTTTATTGTCCACTTTGGTAAGCGATGCGATCGCAAATGGACTGTCGAACGGTACCGGTGGTTTCACCAACAACGGCGATGTAACGCCAAACTGTGCCTAAATTTTCACCCATTGGTGAGAGGAACAAGGAAAAACGGTTGCAAGGCTTCTGTCAGCCAAAGGGAGAGAGCGTAGCTAGAAAAGCACACACTTTGTGTCTTATTGGCATTAAGCCTTTGAAAGAGATCAAGAAAGAAGAGATACTGTGATAGTGTGTACTTGTGGGAGCTCCCAGACATCACTAGAAAACGCTGAACCGCCAAGCCCCATGGTTGACAGAAGTCCTGAGACCAGGAAGAACTCGTACTATTCTTGGTGCCAGAAAGTGAGGTTTTAAAAATTCTCACCTGGAACTGTTCCAATTGTTTAGCCATGTCAGGTCGCATAACCAGCTGAGCCATGTTCATGATGTTGGTGAATTCGTTGCTCTTTTGGCCAAATATACTGGATGGCTCGAATTTCTCTGCGGTACCCTGGGTGGAGACCTGCTCGGACATCAAAACGAGATCTGTAACTTCATTAATTAGCCATAACAGGAACGTACACGTGTCGACGTGTGTCGTCTATTGTTAGCTGGTAATACGCAAGTGCGAAATGGAAACAATAGAGGGTAAGATGAGATAAAAGGAGCACGTAGAGGACATTAATAGTAGGCGTTCATTAACGGAGCAAACTGTCACAACTTGTAACAATGAATGCCGATGATTATTATGAATAAAATGTCGAAATGGGGTGAAAGTGACGAGACGAACTCCAGTACGAACTCAAATATCATCTGTGTTCATTTCACGTTCCTTCAAATGTGTACGGTGACTCTTTTAGCAGTGAAATTGGCATGCAAAGTGCTTCATCACACCATAAATCAGCACCGCCGAAGGCCTTAATCTCGTGTGATATACGTAGCGCGATAAAACGAATTAGCAGCTCCGCTTGTTTTAAATATAACTCGGCGACGTTTTAGTAAGCTATATTTACTGGTGGTAATACATAGAATGTCGAGAATGAAAAATAAACAAATCTCTATATAGGAATGATTGTTGGTGTAAAATTGGCAGTATTTATCTCTCGAGTTACATAATTAGCTGATCATAAGTGAAGAGGATATGCGGGTGTGTATCGCCGTTGTTTCGAGTCGTACGAGCTATTCAGCTCACCCTATCGGGATATCACGAAGAAGGACCGGGAAATGGGGAAGTTTGTCTGATGCAAGAGGTAAGATTGAGTGCCGGCGGCGTTGAGTCTCAGTTGGTATATCCGCGATAATTGAATAAATTAATGAGATTGCGAGGTGGCGCAGCATTAGTGAGAATCATGGTTATTAATTTAACCCTGCATAATTCTTGTCCGTAATATGTGAAACGCCCTGTACATACCTTACACCTCCAGGACCTTAGACGAGGCCTTTATGTTTCCGGGTAGAACTACAGTAATCGCGCGTCAACTGTCAAAAGAATGGCGATTTTTGGGTGGTGTTACATGTGGACCACCTCTTTTCGATGTAGGTGGTCTAGTCTGTCAGGCTATCTGTCCGTGTGGTACGCTTGTATAAATGTGTATGAATGTGAATGTATGCATGTATGTGTGCGTGTGTGTATGTGCACGTGTCGCACGTACCTCCCACGATTGCAGAGCGTAAAAACTAGCGCACCGAGCCCTCGAAAAAACATTCCATTTATCACCATTGCAAATCAAGCGCTACATTTACTAGAACCATCCCATTTTTTGGCTCAATCCAACAATTATCGATCGGATTCGAGATGGATATAAATATAGATGCGTACCCGGATTCCAATCTCTTTAGCAGCGCTCTTTCAGCGTGCGGGGGTTGATCCAAAGGCGATCAAATCTAATTCTGGGACTGCAGTATATCAGAGACGAAGCACGCGCCATGATGTGATTACAATTCGACGATGATAGCTGCAGCTCATCCATTCGATTCGTCACCTCACCGTGTGGGTCCGACTCACTCCGACTCATTGAGGAGGGTGGCAAAATATGACCATTAAAAATATTATGGTTACATTTACAACTTTAGAAAACTTACAATAAAATCTTAATCATATAAAGATAGCGTAGCAGAGCTGCGACGCGACATACACACCCACATAAACGCACAAGGTAATGAGTGTGGGAAAATCGCGCTACATGCGCACTTTAGGAGGGCGTTTCAATCGTATAGTGTACACTGATAGACATGTTTGTATACAAGGTGGATACATGTTGTATACAAGTAGATACAGTATTGACAAGCTGACCGCATGCCGCATTTAGGCAGACATACACACACACATGCTATGAATATCCAGTGTGGCTGGGATTAATTTGGCGTGAATTATCCCGTCAAGAGCATTAATTAAGCTGTGCGCTGTCATTAGTATTCTGATTGGTGCGCATAGGTCCAATGAGACTTCTGCTACCACCTTCTGAAGTCGTCGACGACAGATGTGAAGGTGGATGCGGAATGTGGAATCAGGGTCTACCTCCCGTTCGTGCTATTCAAACGGGGCGCGATTTGGATGAGGGTGAGGGGTCTTATTTGGGCTAAGGACAGTAATTCAGATCTTGGGAAAGGGCAAAGACGACGGTTAACCCTGTGTGGGATACCTGGGCTGAAGAGATGCAGACAAAGTGAATGAGAAGGCTTAAAGACTGCGACGAGCTGCTGAGTTACTATGCTGATTAGTGCCGGCGAAGGGATGGCGTTCAAGTAAACTTCACGCTGTTTACACGGTTATCTACAGGCTGTTAATTGAATTAGACCAACTCGTGCTCAAGAAGCCAGCACAATGAACTTCTCAACCTTCTCAGAAAGTCTTACGTTGTCGAGAGAAGTTCATCTGAACAGCTAGAGATGTTTTCATCAATTTCGCATCAATGATTACTTAATAAAGGGCAAGTTGTTGATAAAGTCATGTGCGCCTTGTAGTAGTGAAAAATTGTATTCGTTCAGATGCTAATCACTATGGAGATATTGTAATCAGTATGTCATAGAAGATGATCTGGTGAAGAATGAGCCACTGAGGAGTGCATGGTCCCAGTAGGAACAGGATGTATTGAAGTACCGTAGGTACCGGTACGTCTGGTGGTACGGCTGATATGAGCAGATGATTGATGAATGACTCTTTACTATGCAATTAGCATAGGACCATATCACTTCACACCTCCAATACAACCGGAACCTCGTACACGCGATACTTGAGGGGCGTTGATCGGCAACGAGGGTCCACTACAACACTTCATTGCCAATTAACGCGCGTTGATTACTTCCTGTAGCATTTCACGCTACTAACTCATATGACAACTATGTACATAACAGTATTTACTGCTGCAGGCAGGAAAAGTAGTTTGAGCAGTGTAAATGGAGTGTTAAAGCAAATGCGATATGTGGAGCTGGCTGAGGGATGAGGGACTAACGAGATTGAAAATGGCGAGTTAATGGCCCAAATTAGCATATTACCTAGCAGCCGTAATCTACGCATCGGTTCCGCACGCGAACAAGTGCATAAACGATTACGGAAACTAGTGTGGCATGAAATGAGCCACGGATGGGACACCTTGAAGAGCAAATTAAGGCCCAAAGAATGAGGTCCATCGAAAGAAACCCTAGAAAAACGTGAAATTATCAACGTGATGGGACCATTTCACCCTCCACCCTCCACTCCGCTTTCCACTAATTGGGAATTATTGAAGTTTGACGGGGCATCGAACGGGCTCGCTCAATTGTTCGCCGATGTGCCGCTCCATTAGCGAGCAGTTCGACTTGAGAGCTGCACTGTGATTCGTGCCGGCTCTAATTGGAGGAGGACGAGCCACAATTGATGAGTCTGCTAAAGCCAGTTATCCTTTTGTCGCATTTATGTCCTTCTTAGGTATCCTATGCTTTATCGGTAATTTCTGAGTAAGTAAGGATGTGCAAGTTGTACGAAAGGGCCGTCTGTGCAGTGTGATAATAGTAGAGCGTTGATATCGCTGGAGCACCGGGAAGGACTTGAGGCGAAACTGATACTCAGGGACGACGTCAATTGACAAGTCTAGATGCCACAAAGGCTTTTGAAGGATCGGAGAAGTCAATCTCGTCGTCTGTTTTAGCGTCACCACGTCGTCATACTCCCTTAATCGCTTGAATAGTGATTAACGTAGGATTTCCTCACCGTTCGGCGGAATAATCATCTGCAAAGTGCAAACATGTGAATGATGATCTAATTTATTTTCAACAGAAAAAAAGCCCATCGTAACGTCTCCGAGGCAACCAAAAAAACACCTCAATGAAGCCTATGGGCCATACCGATTAGGGTAAAGGTACAAAATGATTTTTCCAAATCATCCATCCGCGTTTGGTTGAGTAATAGTGCAAATCAAAAGTTGCAACAATAGAATGACAATATTCTAGCTTGGGGTGTAAGTAGTAATGTGAACAGTACGCAATTACAAGTACACTCCTTTTATTAAATTAGCATTGCTAATTCACCCTGAATGTGTGTGTGTGGTGAAAAGAGCGGAAAATTCTTCGAACTCTCAGATTCGCTTAAGTAGAAACTCAAGCTGGACGGCATTTGTGTGTGTGCTATATTCTACTTTGCACTTTGCATATTCAATTACAATACTTTTTGTGCCCACTAAATTGCATTATGAACTGCGAAAACAGACACGTATTTGACTGTCGAGTTGAGATGAGAAAGGGGAGGGATAGCGTTTCAATAGAAATGAATCATGCTCTTAATTCAGTTTTGTTACTGAATGATTTTTAAACTCACAGCGGACCTTGTGATGCATATGTGCACCACGTCGCCGTAATAAGAAGACCGTTTTGCTCTACCTATCGATCGTGTTGATCTACTCACCCAATCACCTTTGCGCTTCAAAGACGGATTGTTAATTATCAAACTAGGAAAATAACGTACTTACTACCTCTGACTACTTATGATTAACTACTTGCTACCTACTGTAGATATTAGTCATTGATGAGAGAAAGGCCAAAAAATGGCGAGGTACACGAAGTCGGCAGTCATGAGTGGGTTAGGGGCTCGAAAGGTTTAAAAAATGCCGAACAGATGGTTATCATGATTAAATAGTTAGAAATGGAGAAAATGAGAACAATATTGGTGAAATTGATGTGAATTTGAATGTTACAAGTCCACGGGGGATTTATGGACGTCAATTGATGACTCACTAATAGATGAGATAACACGGCTACAGAATGTCACACACCCAGTCGTCACCCCAATGCCAAGGTTGAAATTCTGAGGAATTTGAATGGAATTATATACAAGTTTAACTTTGTGAGGGTAAAATAAAAGAATCTCCACGGATGTCAAAAGCACTGAGGGTGTGAGTAAAGAATATGCTTAATCGAATACTCTATAAATTCTCATCATCAAACTAACTTTCACTTGGCCTTTTTTCAGTCGCAATTGAAATTGCAATTTCGCACAGAAGCTATCGTTCTGTGGTTTTCGTAGACTACCTAAGAGTGATAAAAATTCAGCGATCTCTGGAA